GAAATTTATAAAAGTGAAAATTTTAATGAAAGTGGCAGTGATATTGGTGGTGGTGGTAATAATAATAGTAATGATAATAGTAATTCACAACAAATCCATAAATCACATCCATTAGCATACCATACAAGTAGAATATTAAATGATGAAATTGCTAAATTGAATTTAAGTAATGATAGCTTATTAAATTATGAAATATAATTTTATTAAAATAAATTAAATATATAGTTAATTAATTGAAATTTATTAATTACTAATATGATGATTATTAATTAATTATACTAATAATAAGGGAAAGAGATGGATGATAAAGTTAAAGTTGAGAATTGCTGATGGATAATTTTATGATTATATTTATTAATTTATTTTCTTTATATCTTAAATGTAAACAAAATCATAGATATGAAATGTCAATAAAGAGCAAAGCTAGCTATTTTCAATGCAGCAATTTTTTTAAAATAACAAACCATTTCGCAGCTATCGACATAAAAAACATGGCAATAGAAAACTAAGTAATTCGAAAAAACAAAGAGTTAATTCAGAGTTAGAAGAGAGATGTTTCAAGCATTTGAAAAAAGGTACAGTGATGTAACATTATACATATGTATATATAACACCTGCGAGTATTTTATAGCATAATAATAGTCAATGGCGAAGGTGATGAACAAATTTTAATATTCAATCATTAGACAAAAAGAAATGTTACTTATTCTGGATACGAAAATTGGGTAAGTATGAACAAAGCTTAACACCCAGTTTTAAATAACAACAAAGTTGACCAGAAATGAACCTGTAGTTTGTTGTGAGGGACTAGCAGATGTAGAAAGTAAAGAATTTGTCCAAGTTATTGTTTACTATTATCCATTTTCAATTCTAATTTTGTTGACTTTATTTTCTTTTCATTGAAGCTAATTTGTGATTTTGTTACAGCATGTCCCATATACAACATAATATTAAACATACTTTTTATTGTATTCTTTACATAAAATCGGTTTCATTGTCGAATTTGTTCAGGTGCTGGAGCATATTTATAAATGGCATTATGAGGTTATTGGCTCTACTATTCCTTAAACTTGAAATAAAATCCCACGCTCGATCTAATGTGAATCTTCCATGAAAACGAATACTAAAAAACATAAAAGGTTAACACTTTAAATATTTTAAACGCCATTAAAATTATAAATTAATTATATCAAAGAATATGGATAGAGTAAGTTTACTTACCAACAACCAGGAGAAATATCAAACATATCATTATAAAACTACATTTTTATTATTTACACTACCCCGGGAGAAATTATCCAGATGCGCTTTATATCATAGTTTATATACAATTTTATTTCTCAGCTACACACGATAAAATTATACGGATGCTAGAAACATTAAATTTATAAGGATAATTGCAAGAATTTAAGTTACAAGCTGATGTAAAAAATATTTTTTTTTGTTATGCTGAATAATCAATCAGATACTTTCTTCCAGGTAGCGTTTGAAAAATTCAAGAATTAGCATTATTTCCAATAGTCTTGATTACTTCCGATTTCTGTTGGCTAGTCTTCTATATTTAACTGGAAAATCAATGAATTTCGCGTTTGCACTTGTTCATGCGATCATGTGATATAACTATCATAAAAACTTTAATATTCCGTCACGCATTCCACCCTTTTATTTCACTGATTATTTTAATTGATATTCTTTGTTGTTTTGTTTTAGATACAATTTGTATCGGATTATGTTGCTAATTCGTTTTGAATAATTCTAAACAAGTTTGCCTGCCATTGACCTTAATCATTTATTTGTTTAGTTGATTAATTTAATTTTTCTAGAAGAATGAGTTTTATATGAATAATATCGTAGTGGACATTTCAAAATTAATTGCACGGCTGAAATTAATCATTTATTAGGAAAAATAAATGAATTAGAAAAACCAGACGCGATTACATTAGATGGATCAAAACACTTTGCTTGTATTGCTTTGGGTTCCAGATATCAATGAAACATCAGCTCAAATTGAAAAAAATCTCATCTGTAAAATATTGGATACTTCATTCTTTTATCAAAAATTTTCAATATTAACAAATTCATCATTTTTACAATTGTAATTTTATTGTTGGCTTGATTATAATTTTTT